GTGCAGCGGCATGCCCAATACAAAGCCTGTGTACCATCCTTATTTCATACGGCTTAGGACAATGAATCAAAGCATGCGGGTTCACACATTCGAAGAACGTAATACTTCAAGTCTGAGGATCGTTATACCAATAGTCGCATTAAGGACACTTAGAGCATAGACTAAAAGTCTAGGCAATGCCCTTAAGGTGGGTCAAGTCTGGCATCCTATTATTAACGATAATATCTGCCCGAGAGTAGATGCGAACACTCCGTCATTGACCAAGAGACTAGGGCAAACATCTAACTCTCACTAGTCTCACACACATTAACGATATCCTGCTCTCGTTAATGCTTCGACTATAGACCGTTCAGAATTATACTAAGTGACAAGATGTCAGTCTCAACATCAGAAGACTCATTCTGATAAACATCTTATAATATAATTCTAGGAATGCAATTAAGAGTTTACATTAGCATGAGATGTTTGTAAACTTAATGTATCTGTCTTTACATGATAGAAAATATCTAAGATATTACAACAGCAGTTGGCCATAAGGGCACCAACTCCAACAGTCATATCTCTTAACACCAACTTGGTTTATCCCTTCACTTTTCTGCCATTTCATTCCTCACCATTTCTTTTTCCTAAACTTATTCTTTTCTCTCATTAAAACACCAAAAAGAACTCTTTCCCATACTCCATATTTCATCCCTTCAATCCCATCATCCATTTCCTTTCGCAAATCCTTCTCCAAAATAGCTACTCGTTAAGACCCAGGGTCTCGGGTACAACAATCATTCTTATCCTTCAAATTCCATCAAATCCTCACATCCATGAACAAGCTCCTGCCCTACTCTCCATTCTTATCAAACATGAATCATCAATGCCTCAAAAGGCCAAGGAAATGATCCTCATTTGGTCCAAAGATTCGCAATCACTCTCCCATCCCTTGGTTCAACCAAACTTAACCCTATGTCTTCTTGAGAATGGTCCAATCAAACCCCTATTTAGGAGAACCAACCATGCAACCTTGTTACTACTAATGGCCTTTAGTGCCAATCTTGTTGTGTATATGCAGGGATTTCAAGAAAGAAAACGAAGATGCAAGAACATTTTTTCCAAGTGTTCTATAGTTCTACCAAGGCTGCATTTTCAGCTCACCATACTCCAAGTACCAAGTGGACACATCAAGGAGTATCCCATGTTCAAAGCCAGCCCCTATTTGAGCTTGAAGAAATGCTGAGTTTGAGGACAAACTCTTTTGAACAAGGGGAGGAGGTTAGATATCCGGGAGTGTCAACGAAGACTTTCCTTAGTCCACAAAAGGAAAAACAAATCAGGAGAATGAAGCCAATGTGTGGTGACTTTAATTGGGTTGATTTCATTCCTTTTTCCTATCATGAAGCCCAAACCAACACTATTGTTGTCCTACATCCCACTTAGGCCGAACCATCTAAACCCCAAACCATCCCTAAACATTCAAACCGCCTTGTCTTTTATTCCCTTTCAAATAAAGTCTTCCTCCACTTATTTTAAGTCCCTTGACCGAAAATAAGAAGAAGACAAACCAAAAACCTTTTTTTGTTGTTCTTAAATTTTAAGTAATCGATCAAATAACACACTTCCCCTCCTCTTCCTACATTATGGACGAAAGGTTCATCTCCCTAATCCCCCCATTATCTCTTCAATGAAATAATGTATAATTGGCCAAAATTAATGTCAAAC